CCTGACCAACGTGGTGAAACCCTGTCTCTACTAAAAATACAAAAATTAGCCAGGCGTAGTGGCGCATGCCTGTAATCCCAGAATTCAGAAGGCTGAGGCAGGAGAATCGCCTGAACTCAGGAGGTGGAGGTTGTGGAGGTTGCCCTGAGCCGAGATCGTGCCATTGAACTCCAGCATGGGCGACAGAGACTCCATCTCAAAAATAAATAAATAAACAAACAAACAAAAATCTCTGCCAATCCAGGAAATCTCTCCACAAAGGGGGTAGAGAAAGAAAATTGTTTTGTTAGCTAATAAGCATTTAACCAAAATGTAACGCACATCCCACACAATCCCCTAAGAGACTACAAAGACAGAAAGAGACCTTGCCCTTTTATAGAGTCATGCAGAAGTGACTTGTTCCAGACAGGTTCTCAAGTAAGAGGACTCGGCAGCCCCATTTGTTGCACAGAGCTCACCACAGATTCACCTAGTAATTGAGGTCACCATCTGTGTTAGCTAATTGACTTTATCCACAGGAAAAACAAACTTCTCATAGCTTTAGGACAGGAAGTAGCTTTGCAACTTAGAGTGAGGCACCTGCCAGATCAGGCTCCTACCCTCCCACTGAAACTCTGATGATTATGTTTCAAAGGGTTGGCTCCTTGGTCCTTGAAAATGGTATTTCTGAGTCCTAAAGCTGCCAAGAGGCTTACTGAGCTTTCAAATTTATTATTTATTAGTATTTTAAAGACACAGGACCTCTGTTGCTGCCCAGGCTGGGGTACAGTGATGGAATGATGGCTCACTGTAACCTTGAACTCCTGGCCTCAAGCAGTCCTCCCACCTCAGCCTCCAAAAGCACTGGGGATAACAAGTGTGAGTCACCTCACCTGGCCCTATTTAGCTTTTTAAAAGATTGACATACATCTCAAAGAAACAGAGGAACAAACTTAAAATGTGAAGTTTCCTAAAGTAAAAAGGGAGGGAGGTGAAGTCTCTTCCCTTATTTTCCACAAGGAGAATTAAAACTCTTAAAACTCTTATTTTTTTATTGGTACACAATAGATGTACATGTTTTTGAAGTACATGGAATAATTTGTTAACATTAATATAATTGAATCAGGGCAACTGGAATATCCATCACCTTAAACACTGATCTTTTCTTTATGCTAGGAACATTCAAATTAATCTCTTCTAGCTTTTTTGAAATGCATATTGGATTAATGTTAATTATAATCACGCTACTGATCTATCAAACAGGCTGCTTCTTTCAATTTGTATTGGCAGACCTGCCTGTTATCCCCACACTTTGGGGATGAGGGGAAGCCAAGAGTCTGACACCAGCCTGGGCAATGTGCCAAAATCCTGTCTCTACAAAAAAATTAAAAATTAGCCAAGTGGGGTGGCTACTCCATGTAGTCCCAGCTGAGGTGGGAGGATCGTTTGAGCCCAGGAGGTCAATGCTGCAGTGAGCCGAGACCATGCCACTGCACTCCAGCCAGAGTGACAAGAGAGACCCTGTCTCAAAAACAAAATGAAAAACTAAAAAAAATTTTTTTTTAATTGTATTTGCTCTTACAGGCCCAAGAGGCAGTAGCAAAGGTCAGCATCTCCACCACTGCATCAGGTCTTGCCCATGTTGACCCAGGTGCTGGGACAAGAGGCACACCCTGAACTTATTGTTCCTGTTTGATTCTCATCTGGTTCTGGGTCTCCACTTTCCACCCCTTTTCCTCCGTAAACTAAAAGCTAGGTTGTTTGGGGTGTGACATGCTCTAGAAAGAGTGTATCTGGCTTCTTCTTGTTTTTACCACAAGGGATGCCTGAGACATAGGTTTGTGCTGCCATTTTGGCTCTCAAGCCAGGGAGCCTGTTGGTGTTCTCATTTTGGAATTTTATTTTGGACTGTTCAGAGGACCCAGGGACTCCGTGCTGTGATACCCAATTCCCTGGCTTTAATCAGTTATTCATTATTCACCCAGGTACTTAATGAGAAACTCTCAGTATCTAATTTTGTTTCAGGCTTTGCAGAGGGTCAGAAGGATGGAAGACTTGGCCCCTCCTCTCTAGGAGTGTACCCCATGCCTGGGGAGATCACATATCAATGTGGAACAGCCCCAGTTAGGGCACAAGGACGCTGGGGCCTGGACAGTCAGTCACACCATGGGACCTCAGGGGGAGGCTGGACGTAGGCTGGGGTGTGTGGGGAGAGCTTCCTGGACAGGTGGGATCTAAGGATCCTTAAATCATGGACAGGAAAGCAGCTGCAGCCTAAGGAAGAGCAGGGGTGTTAGGAGGCTTCCCTAAAGTTCTGTGACCCTGTAGAACTGCTGCCACTGCTAAGGTCACTACTGCAACTACAAGCACTGCACCTGACATGGGAGCTTGATGGGCCAGAGCACATGCAAAGAAAGAGGGCCTCGGAAATCCCCGAAGGAGATGCAGGGCCTTGTACCCTGTGGGATTCCCATGCTCACCCCAGGGAAACAGTAAGACAGTAAGCGGACGGCTGGCAGAGCTGCCCCCAGACTCTGAGGCTCTCAAACCCACCCTTCGTGCAGAGAGAATTGTGTGGTTATCATCCCCGAACTCACCTGCTGAGTGATTCGATGCGAGTGATTTGATTGATGTTCAGTCCTTCTTAGCAGGAGGCAGAGCAGCAGAGAGTTACAGTTAACACTAACTGGGCATAGTTATTGAGCAGGAGAGTAGGGTCTGGAGGCGGGGAAGGTAAGGCTGATTCGCACTGACTTCCTAGAACTGAATCAAAAGGAAAAGCCCACCTCTCCACACCCAAATAACAAAAGGATCAGAGGCTACTCCCTTTGCAACCCCCAGCTTCCTCTGCATTGCAGATGAAAACTGAAAGCACCTCTGATTGGCCCCCTCCTACAACCAATCAGGCTGGCCGCAGGCCAAGTCTTTATTTGCAGAGGAGTATAACTTTGTAACTTCACTTCAGCCTCTGATTGGTCACTTTCTGCAATCAATCAGATATTTGCATAGGGGTAACTTTGTGTCTTCACTTTAGCCTCTGATTAGTAATTTTCTGCAATCAATGGGTCTGATCACGGGCCACTACTTCATTTACATAGGGCATAAACCAAATAACCAATGGGAAACCTCTAGAGGGTATTTAAACCCCAGAAAATTCTGTAACCCTTGCTCTTGAGCTGCTTGCTTGACCCACTCCCGCTCTGTGGAGTGTACTTTCATTTCAATAAATCTGTGCTTTTCTTGCCCATTTGTCCAATTCTGTGTTCAAAACGTGAAGAACCTCAACACCCTCCACTGGAAACAGTTAGGGTTTTTTGCTTTCATTGTCCTTTTTCCAAAATTGTATCTGAGGGGAGACTTCCTGGCTCTGTTAAGATCAAGCACATCTGCTTTCAAGGATGATGGGCTTAAGGCAAATACTCAGCCACCTGAGGGTCCTCTCGTCCACTGTGTGTGTTCCGGCAAGGAGCACACACTCGGAGCTGGGGGAGAGCATGGTCCATCTTGGTGTCAGAGAGGAGACTACTGTCCTGGCTGAACCAGAGGGATTGCCAAGACAACAGGAAAAATCAAGCCTATGGCATGAAAGGGCAGCTTTTTGTGGTGAACTGTTTGTGCAGACCAATGTGTCAATAGTGTCTACCTGGGTCAAAAGACACCTCTAGTCCTCTAACCTGTCTCCTTGCCTTCAGGATGCTACCTCCACCCAAATGCTGCTGCCCATGATATCTTTCTAAGAACAGATCTAATCATGTCACCGTCCTGACAGCACCTTGGGAAGGCTCAGGGCCACATATCAAAAAAGTTCAGGACATCTAGCATTATGGCAAATGGGCTTCCCATGAAAAAAAATCATAGAAATGTTGGGTAAACTGTAACAAAAAAAATTTTTTTTAATGCATGCCATCTTTGGACAAAATAAAAGGAAATCCTCAAGTGGTAGAAATGGAAGAGAGGAACCACAGCCAAAGCAGTAAGTGTAAGCTGGAAGCCTGGGGTCCATGGAAATTGTAGAGGAGCCAAATTTAGGCTCTCGAGAGTGGGCTGAAATTAAAACACCAGTGGGAGAACAGGACATGTGGCCTTAGGCATGCTTGGAGATAGAAAATGTTAAACCGAGCTCAGAAAAAAAGCATCAGAGAGATGACCCTTCCTTAAAAGAGGGTTAAAAAAAATGCTGCCCACCAGCTCAGGGAAGTCTGAGGAGGCAAGCTGTCAGTCTTAGAACATGGATGCAAGGGAAAAAAAATGTCACCTTTCAGATATGGAATCCCTAGGGCCTGCTCATTGAATGGGTGCACAGTTCAGATATATACTGCCTCTGAGGTCCAGGAGCCCCAGGCAGAGAAACTAACATAATATTTGGTCTAAAATAATTGAAATCCCCAGGATCCTGGTAGATACCACTCTGTAGAAATGTTGTTACAGTCCAGGGCACATGGGAGTCACACAGGAAAAACAACTCCTACCGAAAATGAGCTCACAATCAAAAGTGACATATCATGTGAGGAAATGAGCCTCCATGAGTGGGAGCCAACAAATACATCCAGCAGGATAGTCGGGACTGCAGATAATGGAACAATCTGAAAGCAGCTATGACCAGATCTGTACCCACCCTTCAAAAGCTGAACCCAGCTGTTCTAGCCCATTTCATCCTGGTTCTTCAGTGCTCACCTTCTTAAGTTCATGGTACTCCAGTCATTCCATCATGCAGACTCAAAATCTTGAGCCCTCTCCAAATTCTTCCTCTCTCAACTGGTTTTCTTCGTAATAGCTCTCAGTTTTCTCATCTGTCTTCCTCTCCCTCATCCGCTGTGTGCTGATCATCTAGCTGGTTTCCCTGACTTCCCAGATCCAGGGTCCTGTTTTATCTTTATTTCACTCCCATGCTGCCACAGAGGTGTCCTCCTACATGGCAAGTCTCATGATTTTTCTTCCTCAACCCAAACCCCTGATTGCTGAAATTCAAACAACTTTGCCCAACTTGGACCTAAACTTCCATCCCAGTTTTGTTTTCCATCATGTCAGCCTCACCCAACCCTCATCCCAAGACCCTACTGGAGGTATACCCACTTACTTATCCTTCTTATACCCCCCGACCCATGCTTCCAGACAGCCTCTTCCCTCATGTTAGAAGGCTGTCCCCATCATGTCTGCTGACTGAAAGCCTACCTACCTAGCTTAAACCTTCTAAAAGCGTGATGTTGTAGAAAAATGCAGCATTAGTGCTAAACAGATCTGATTTCAAATTCCAGATGTGTTACTTTATAACTCTCTGCCTCAAGTGACAAGAGGTCACAACCTCTCTGAGCCTCAGTTTGTAATGTTGTAAAATGGGAATATATGTATTTTTTAGAGTTGTGAGAGTTAGTCTATGTGAAATACCAAGACCACAGAGCTTGGTCCAAGTAAGTGCTCAGTTAACAGTTGCTGAACTGAGTCTCTCTCCTCACATTTTTATGGGAGTTATGTCTTTACTGTCTTACCTTCCATGGGGCCTGAGGCCTTATCTCATTCAACTTTGCATTCCTAGTGTCTCACACAGAATCTTGGAATATGTCGATTGACAAGTACTGGAAATAGCCCGGCATGCTTAACCTGGTGTTAGAAGAGGGGCCTGGCAGATCGCAGATTTTAGAAGGGTAGTAATGGCCAATTTACACTGCAGTACTCCAGAGAGAGAGCCAATCCAGGATAAGAAGGGATATCTAACATTTACAGCTCTTTAACATGAGAACAGGTGCTAAATATAAGCTGCTTGCCATTAAAAAACTCCAATTACAGAAAGTAATCTGGGGTTGGATGAGGGATACAACAATCACATCAGTGATTCTTAACTTTTAGGAGTCACAGATGTCTTTGAAAATCTGGTAAAAAGTTCTGAATCTTCTTCCCTGGAAAAATGACCCAAAGCATAACATTTTGCAAATAATTTTGAATGCTAGGTAACGATCACCTGATGGCCCTTCTAGGATGCTATGGTCAACTTCCCATTTCCCTCTCAATCATGAGACAGAAGGCGTCAATTGCTGTCATGTGTATCTTCAGAATTCACAACTCCCATCTAAAACACGATTCATATTCGAAAGCTCAGTGCTTTTGCCGCAAACTAAATACTCTGTGTATTTTTCGGTCAAATGAATGAATAAATAAAATATATGATTGATCTGATCTTTAAGAAAACATATGCTACAAGAAGGAGAAAAGAGAAGGAAAAAATAAGAAAATAAGTTTATGAAAAGGATCAACACAATGCCATAAAATGAGGAGAGGCTAATCAGCATCAGAAAAAAAAGAGATAGATTTTAGATGGCATGAACGTTCAGCCTCTTGCCCAGGACTGAGCATCCCAGGGAATGTCTAACCTGCAGACCTCTGCTGTTGTGTGGGCCGTGACGAGTTTGCCTTCAGAGTTACAATGGCACATCCCCAGGGGCTTCTGGGGAAAATCACTCATAAGGATCCATGATCCACCGTGACATGTCCAGATGATATTTGAATTTGACTTTTTCTTTTCTTTTCTTTTTTGAGACAGAGTCTCACGCTGTCACCAGGCTGGAGTGCAGTGGCGTGATCTCAGCTCACTACAACCTCCACTTCCTGGGTTCAACAATTCTCCTGCCTCAGCCTCCTGAGTAGCTGGGACTGCAGGCCTGTACCACCACCTGTCTAATTTTTGCATTTTCAGTAGAGATGGGGTTTCACCATGTTGGCCAGGCTGGTCTCAAACTCCAGGCCTCAAGCGATCTGCCTGCCTTGGCCTCCCAAAGTGCTGGGATTACAGGCAAGAGTCACCGCATCTGACCCCAAATTTGATTTTAAAACCTCTTTCCCTATTTGTGAATTTAGGTCTCTATTGTTATGCAACCAGTGGCCATTCTATTATGACATGTTGCTTCATTCACACTTGGTAATGAGCTATTAAATGAAGTGTGTTGAGATTTTTTTCTTAGAATATTATTATTATTATTATTATTGAGACAGGGTCTCACTCTGTCGCCCAGACTGGAGTGTAGTGGTGCAATCCGGGTCACCAGAACCTCCACCTCCCAGGCTCAAGCGATTGTCCTCCCTCAGCCTCCCAAGTACCTGGGACTAGTGGCACACGCCACCATGCCCGGCCAATGTTTTAATTATTAGTAGAAATGGGGTCTCGTGATGTTGCTCTCCAAGTTCTATGCTCAAGGGATTCTCCCACCGTGGCCTCCCAAAGTGCTGGGATTACAGGCGAAGCCAGCATTTCTTGTTTGATAGACTGAGCATAAGTTTCTCAAGGGATCAGCTGGTGCTTCCAGTTTGTATGAGCAAAGATATGCAGCTCTGTCCGGGTCAAGATCTCTTGCTGTGTCGGCACTGGACCCCACCGGCTCTTCCTTGGAGACACAGGCAGCTGCGAGATTTCAGGAGGCTGTGCAGACTCTGCAGGGCCTCGGGCAGCCCCACCCCAGTGAGGGCACTGCAGCCCCGTAGCTCCCAGCAGTGGTCCTGGAATCTCTCTAGACTCAGCCTGTTTCTGATCTCAAGCAACGGAAGTGCATCACGTGCCTCCTGCTTGTTGGCCAGCACCAAGAAGGGAACACCAGCCATGTTGGGGTCATTCACAACTTCCGCGAGCTCAGCAGCTGACTCAGGTAAGCGGGCTTCATCTGTGCTGTCCAGCACATACACGAGGATATCTACACCTTCCAGATAGTCCTTCCAGCTGGTCCTGAGTGGGGCCTGCCCTCCGACGTCCCAGAGAGTCAGTGACACGTGCCCAGGAGCTTCCAGAGGCTCCACGTTGAATCCAACAGTGGGCAGGGTCTCCACTAGCTGGTGGCCCTTCAGCCTGTAAAGGAGCGTGGTCTTGCCCGCCAAGTCCAGGCCCATCATCACCACCTGGGCTTCCGCCTTGTGATCTCTGGAATTCACAGAACCCATGGTGGCCACTGCTGAATTCTAGGGGAGAAGGGCCAGGGGCACACATCAGCTACTGTCTCCTGAAGGAAGACAAATCCATCCTGGTATGGTGGGTCATGCCTGTAATCCTAGCATTCTGGGAGGCCAAGGTAGGAGAATCACTTGAGCCCAGGAGTTTGAGACCAGCTGAGGCAACAAAGCAAGAACCTGCCTCCTCTATAAAAATTGAAATTAAAAAAGGAGCACAAATCTTTGCAGGCAAATAGAAGAGCTTTTCCAAAATAGGAAAAGTCTTCACAGGGTCAGAATTTAAACAGATGCCTGGGCTTTGAAGAAAGTGATGGTGTGTGAGCCACCATCAGCTGGCCCATCTCTGGGTCAGAGAAGAGTGGGCCCTGGGCAGAGAAGATCAAGGGCCTCCTGGAAGGCATGGAAGATGGGTTCACATTCCTGAGGAGTTAAAGCAAAGAGGCAAAATGAGGTTCCAGTCAGACAGACCTGGTCCAGTAGAAATTACTGGACGATGACTTCTGTTCTTGCTGGTCTGTGGCTTCTAAACCTATTCTCCTCCTATAAGCCTAAACGCTGAAATGGAAGCTAAGTGGGGTTCCATGCACAGAGTGAGGAGCATGGTTCAGCTCATGGTGAACTCTCTCCCTTTGGAGCTTCCCAAGGACCAGTACTATGTCCTGGAAATACAGTCAGGTGTCACTTAATGATGGGGACACATTCTGAGAAATGCTTCATTAGGCAATTTCATTGTTGTGCAAACCATCGATTGTAATTACACAAACGTGGATGGTCTAGGCTACTCCACGCCTAGGCTACATGGTATGGCCCAGTGCCCCTGGGCTGCATACTGGTACAGCCTTCCTGTACTGAGTACTGTAGGTTACTGTAACACAGTGCTAAGTATTGGTGTATCTAAACATAGAAAAGGTAATGGTTGCACCACAATGCTAAGCTGAAAAATAGGAATTTTTTGGCTGGGTGCGGTGGCTCTTGCCTGTAATCCCAGCACTTTGGGATGCCAAGGCAGGTGGATCACGAGGTCAGGAGTTAGAGACCAGCCTGGCCAACATGATGAAACTCTGTCTCTACTGAAAACACAAAAATTAGCTGAGTCTGGTGTTGGGCACCTGTAATCCCAACTACTCAGGAAGCTGAAGCAGGAGAATTGTTTGAACCTGGGAGGCAGAGGTTGCAGTGAGCCGAGATCATGCCCCTGCACTCCAGCATCCCAGCCTGGTGACAGCGTGAGACTCTGTCTCAAAAACAAAAAAAAAAAAAAAAAGGAAATTGCGAGCTCCATTATAATCTTATGGGACCACCAGTGTATATGTGCTCTGTCGTTGACTGAAATGTCTTTATGCAGTGTCTGACTGGGGCTATTTATAAATACTGTCGACTGGAAGTAAATTTGAGTCAAAGCAAAGTAGTTTCCTCCACTGTCTTACCAAGGGAAATGACTTCTACAACACTCCACATGTGCTTTTTTGTTTGTTGGTTTTTTGAGACGGAGTTTCGCTTTTGTTGCCCAGGCTAGAGTGCAGTGGTGCAATCTCGGCTCACTGCAACCTCCGCCTCCCAGGTTTGAGTGATTCTCCTGCCTCAGACTCCTGAGTAGCTGGGATTACAGGCATGTGCCACCAAGCCTGGCTAATTTTGTATTTTTAGTAGAGACGGGGTTTCTCCACATTAGTCAAGCTGGTCTTGAACTCCTGACCTCAGGTGATCCGCCTGCCTTGGCCTCCCAAAGTGCTGGGATTACAGGAGTCCAGCCTGTTTTTGTTTTTGTGTGTGTGTTTTTTGAGACAGGCTCTTACTCTGTTGCCCAGGCTGGATTGCAGTGGCATGATCACAGCTCACTGCAGCCTTGACTTCCCAGGCTCAAGCCATCCTCCCACCTCAGCCTCCCCAGTAGCTGAGAATATAGGCATGTGTCATCACGCATTGTTGCTGTTGTTTTGAGGCAGGGTCTCACTCTGTTGCCCAGTTCGGAGTGTAGTGGCACGGTCTTGGCTCACCACAACCTCCAAGCTTCCTGCAACCTCCACCTCCCAGGCTCAAGCGATTCTCATGCCTCAGTCTCCTGAGTATCTGGGATTACAGGCATGCACCACCACCACCCAGCTAATTTTTGTATTTGTAGTAGAGACATGGTCAGGCTGGTCTTGAACTCCTGACCTTATGATCCTCCTGGGATTACAGGCGTGAGCCACCACGCCTGGCCACATATGTTTTTAAAGAATCCCAAGTTTTAAGACATAGAACCTGTTCCCAACTTAGGCGATGCTTGGGTGGAACAGAGAAGGGACATCTCAACTTCTGGGGTTGGGGGTGGGGAGATATCAGCTGCCCCTGGAGGGAGGTAAGCCTCTGCTCATCCCTACCTTCAAGGGTAGAAGAATAAAGAGTTAAAATTACCTCTGCGTTACTATTAGACTGCGGCTGTGAGATCCTCCGTGGCTCTCATGGAGCTGCTTTCTGCTGGCTGGAATGTCCCAAGAGCGAGATGGGACGGAAGCAGAGCAGCCGTTGCTGTTTCTCCTTTTTCTGCTTCCGTTTCCTAGGGGCTGGTGTCACGGTTCCTCCCTCACCCCAGGGTGCCACAGAGTAGTCATCCTGCTGTGCTCGCCACAGAGAGGACCCCAGCTCTGCAGCTCCTGGCAGAGCAAGGCCCAGTGACAACTCTGTTTCTTAGCGACTCAGACTTGATGCCTGAAGGAATCACACACGGTTTTTGTTGTTGTTGTTGTTTTGTTTTGTTTTTTATTTGAGACAGTCTAGCTTTGTCACCCAGGTGGGACTGCAGCCTCCACCTCCAGGGCTCAAGGAATCCTCCCGTCTCAGCCTCCTAAGCAACTGGCATTACAGGTGGGTGCCACCACGCCCAGCTAATTTTTGTATTTTTAGTAAAGACAGGTTTTGCCATGTTGGCCAGGCTGCACACATGTTCTCTAAAAACCTGCCTACAGGCCAGGCACGGTGGCCTGTAATCCCAGCACTTTGGGAGGCCAAGATGGGTGGATCACCTGAGGTCAGGAGTTTGAGACCAGCCTGGTCAAAATGGCGAAACCCTGTCTCTACTAAAAATACAAAAATTAGCCGGGTGTGGTGGAATGCACCTGTAGTCCCAGCTATTCGGGAGGCTGAGGCAGGAGAATTGCTTGAACCCAGGAGGTGGAGGTTGCAGTGAGCCGAGATCATGCCACTGCACTCCAGCCTGGGTGACAGAGTGAG